TCATTTCGGACTTGTGGATTTATGGTTTTCTTGGCAAGACTCGTTCAGAGGCTTTGTTCGCCTTGCCTTCTTCTGAGGCTGAGAGAATGTGCGTGGGTTTTCCTGGCTGAGCTGGGATTTGAACCCGGTCCCCAGAGTCGTGGTCCAACGTTGGCTCGCTGCAGTGAAGGGGGCAACCAGTTTCCCCTTTAAGGGCCGAGGGACTTCAGCTCCCAGAATCCCAGGAGCTATTGGCCAACATGACACTATTGGCCAACATGGCTGAGGCTTCTGGGAGCTGAAGTCCCTCGGCCCTTAAAGGGGAAAGGTTGCCTACCCCTGGTCTGGAGGGCTTTTCTTGTTGGCGTCTCCGATAGAAGGAGGCGATGGCCACCTGGGAGTATTTCCCTCCACCCTGATCGCAATAACCGCTTCATTTCTTAATTTATGCCAGGGGTAGGCAACCTTTCCCCTTTAAGGGCCGAGGGACTTCAGCTCCCAGAAGCCTCAGCCATGTTGGCCAATAGCTCCTGGGATTCTGGGAGCTGAAGTCCCTCGGCCCTTAAAGGGGAAAGGTTGCCTACCCCTGGTTTATGCAATGGACAGCTTATCCTTTGTACCTGGAAAGCGCTCTTGTCTCTGGAGGAGAAAAAGTGCCTGTGTTAGTTTTCCTTCTTTTCCTTGGAAGGCAACTTTTCCAAGTTCCACTTTCCCAATCCCCTGGATCAGGTAACCCATCGTCCTGTGGACTGCCTGGGAATTTTTCTCGGCTTATTCACATTCGACGCAGGAGTTAAACTAAGCCACAACCAGACACAAAACATGTTATTGTTGTTGTGTGCCTCCAAGTCGTCGCCAACTTATGGCGACCCTAAGGCAACCCTATCAGGGATTTTTCTTGGCAAGATTTGCTCAAGAGGAGGGTTGCCTTTGAGGCTGAGAGAGTGTGACCACTGGTTGAGAACCACTGGACTAACTCATTCAAAGCAAAATCACAGGTTCGCCAGAGCCCATGTTCTCCTGTTGTTGTCATGCGCCATCTAGTTGACTGTGACTTGCGCTAACTAACACTCTCCTATTAAGAGAGGGTTTGCCATTCCCATCCTTTGAGGCTGAGAGAGTGGGACTTGCCCAAGGTCACCCGGTGGGCTTCCATGGCTGAGCAGGGACTCGATCCTGTTCTTCAGAGTCGCAGTCCCACGCTCAAACCACACTAGCTGTCGTTTCTGAATCTGCAGCCCTATCGCTTCTCTCCCGCTCTGACACCGCCACAATTCCTTTTTACTTCTCGATGGAAGCTGCAAATTATCATCCAAAGGCAGACGCCGGGGCTCCTTGAAAGAAAAACCTGCAAAGCCAAGTTGGCAGCACCAGAAACCAGAGCTGCGTCTACGCTGCAGAAATAATCCGGCTTGACCCCACTTTAAGTGTTATGGCTCGATGCTAGGGAATTGTAGTTTGTTGAGGCACCAGCGCTCACTAACAGAGAAGGCTTAAATATTTCAGAAAACTCCAGTTCCCAGAACTCCCTGGCATTGAGCCAGGACAGTTAAAGCTGCATCAAACTGGATAATTTCTGCAGTACGGATGCATCCAAGGAGAGAGACCGGGGGCTGAAATAATGCCGCTTGACACCTCTTTAAGTGTTGTAGTTCCATCCTATTTGTAGTTTTACAAGGTATCTATCCTTCTCTGCCAAAGAGTGCTGGTGCCTCACAAAACTACAAATCCCAGGTTTCCATAGGTCATATAGTATTCTGTAGTGTCATGCAGGGGTAGGCAACCTTTCCCCTTTAAGGGCCGAGGGACTTCAGCTCCCAGAATCCCAGGAGCTATTGGCCAACATGGCTGAGGCTTCTGGGAGCTAAACTCAGGCCAGGAGCCCAAACCCCTGAGTAAGCAGGTGTCCTACCCGCCAAGGAGGACAAGGCACCGCAAAATGGAGGACGTGCAAGGAAAAGGGAGGAGCCGGCCAAAGAAGAGCTAAAAACACTCCTAGAAATAGAAATTCATGCTCCAAATGGAGGGACCTTTTGGGATTCCTCCTGGACAGGAGGAGGCTGAAATGGAGGCCATGTCCTGGAAAAGGAGGACGTGTGGTCACCCTGCCCAAAACCTAAACCGATCAGTTTAAACCAGGGGTAGGCAACCTTTCCCCTTTAAGGGCCGAGG